AGTAAAAACTTTTTATTTTTTTTGAAAGTCCGTACTAACTTGTATTACCGTACTGTACTACTTTACTATATACTCAAAATTTGAAAGGGATGTATAATATATTAACCGTACGTACGATGATCAAAGTTTAGTATAAATTTCGTACATCCATCTACTACCGTACAGTACTACTTATGTAATTTCGACAGCGACAGCAGAATCCAAGATTGTATTGTCCATTTGCAATACCAAAAAAAACCAACTAATAATGTCTGAAACACGTGGTAACTCCCGCCTTTCCGCATTGTCAGACTGTCTGGCACCATATTCCCCGTATTTCCTCTTTTTATTTTTTTTTATCCTTTGGAGGTGCTGGTGAAACTTTACCTTTTCCTTTTACATTGCTGCATTGTTAATTACGTTTGTCACTTCACCCAGCACTTTCGACCCGTCTAATAAATCTCCGCAGGTCTTTGTCACCTTTTTTATATCATTCTATGTAAAAAAAAAAAAAAAAGAATATAAATAAATAAATAATATTCGTGAGAACTAATAATAAAATTAGGTCAAATAGCTAGGTGGAACATGAGATAAACCAACCATCTTTTCAGCCAGAAGACTCTTGGCTTTTTCAATAGCTTCTTCTCTTCTGAATTTTCAATAACGTCTTCTAAGCTATTGTAAAAATTCCTGAAAGCCTCTCTTCTATCCGATTTTTCCTTGGACAAAATTTTACACGCGGCGTAGGCTTCGAGAGACCAAAGCCCAGGAGGAAGAATAAGTACAAACTCGGATTCCATTTTGTTATACGGGTAAATTAAATCGTGTGTAAAGTAAAATTAATAAGAAACTATACGGGTAAATCAAATCGTCTGTAAAGTAAAATTAATACAGTAATAAGAAACTTTACAAACAAATACACGTATCTTATCTATTACCTACTAGCTATATAAATACGATTTTTGATGGGTGTTTTGATGCATTTTATTGGCTAATTTTCATGTGACAATTGTAACACAACAAATTTGATTCGCGTTTGTTTTGACTGAGATCGGGCCCTTATATTAGCTCTATATTATATTATATAAAAAAAAATAATTCTTAATACCCGAACTCTAATCCTAAATTTTATTAAAAACAATTCTATATGGTGCTAAAACACCATAGGTGCGTTTTATAATAATTGATTATGAATTATAAAATTATTAAAAAATTTAAATACCAACTTAATTTAAATATCTTTTTTAAATGGTTGAAGATTGCTTGTTTTCATATTTGGGCTTTTTTTAATTTGTGATATAAGTTGACGAAAATACTTAGCGACGCGGCACAAGCAGATTCGATTGTTTATCTAAGCCCTAATGTAATTAATGAAATAACTGCTTATAATTAGGGATGGCAAAAAAAAGATTTTTATTGATTTAAATCAGGTGACGTTTTAGTTCTGAATATAAATCGTAAACATCATCACCTGATTTAAATCAATAAAAATCATTTTTCTGCCATCTCTACTTACAATGTTAAAATACATGCTTGCACAAATTTTGCATCTTTTTTTTTTTTTTTTTTGCAAAAGAAAAACAAAAACAACCGAAAAAATATTTCAATTATAATTTAATTATGAATATGTAATATTATTTTATTAACTACGTATGTAATTTTTGCTTCTAGTTCCTAAAGCAAATTATATACTAATCTCAGATACTAAATTATAGATAATAAAATTATAGAGATTGTACCCGTAAAGAAAACCTTAATTATTCGGACCAAATACGTTCTTCGATAAATTACGTACTCTTTTTTGCAATTGAATAATGAGAAATTTTGAAATACTGAAATGCTGTAGACAAGACCTATCGATAAGGATTCGGATTTTTCGTATCCCTTTTTGAAATATTCAGTGCCGGCATGCCACTATTGATACGTTGAAAAAACTTTTCAACAGATATTATACACTTATTAGATCTTCGTTGCTACGTAGTCAAGAAATAAATCTGAATTATTATAATTATAGAAATTTAAAATACCAACCTAATTTAAATCTCTTTTTTAACCGCTGAAGATTGCTTATTTTCATATTTGGACCTTAAAGGTTTTAATTTGTGACTCATAAGTTGACAAAAAGTACTTAACGAAGCCATAATATATTCAATTGTTTATCTAAGTCCTAATGTAATTAACGAAATAACTGCTTACAGTGTAAAAATATATGCTTGAACAAATTTTTTTTTTGCAAAAGAAAAAAAAAATAACCGAAAATATTATAATTTAAATAATGATCAACTAATGTAATATTAATATTTATTAACTACGTACGTAATTTTGATTCTAGTTTCGACTGTTCATACCGTTCCGACCTAACTTTCCGAAAAAAAAAAAAAAATTTATTTGTGAGAATTTCTCAGATAGTAAATTATAGATAGAAAATTAGAGATTGTACCCATAAACAAAATCTCTACCCTAGTTTTATTAAATTACCCGCTTATCCGGGTAATTTATTATAGCAATATAATAAAATGTCTACCCGGATACAATCCCTTTAAAATTAAGTCAATATGGGTTAGGTGCGAAATATATGCAACAACTGTAGAACTGTCGCATAAAGATAAAGGAAGATACAAACAGGCACTTTCTATAGCTGTTGTGGTCCTGTAGACCTTTACACCTAACTCGGCACCCACTGGGTATGCTATGCAGACCCCACCTTTCCAGTCTGACAAGAAAGCGAAGTGCCTAGTAAATATCACTTGGGCCCTAGTAAATATTCACTTGGGCCACTTACAGAGACCATACAAGTCACACCCTCTCAGTGCACCCCAAATGCATTTAGAGTCCATCATATTGAGGGGCGTAAATGCCATCATATTGACCATAGTTTAGGATCGAATTTCTGGTCTACCCTCAATTATTGTTGCCAGTGAAATATAAGCCGTGTTCGGGCCAACCCAATTTCCAAAATCCGAAATAATTGTTGCCAATAAAAAATAATTTCGCCGAAGCGATATAATTTCGGTTCAAACTTTAGCCAGTGTAAGATAATATATTTCGGATTCGCCCAAAAAACTGTAATAAATTCTGAACCAACCCACTTGAAAAAAAATTGCTTATATCCTTGGCTTTTACCCGACCAGAATATCGATCCTAAGCTCGAATTACATTTAAATGAAAATAAACTAACCTTCTTATCGTTTGAAGTTTTCTACTTATTAAAAATCCGGTGCCCCTATCGAAGAGTAATCGTTGCCATAGCATTACCGTGTAAATACTTAACATAATGTACATAATTATCATAGTTAATTTAGTGAACATAGTAATTATATACTCAATCATTGTAAGAAAGTATTTAAGTCTCACCTTATAACTTAGAACCGGCAGAATGAGTAGTAAACCACCAAATCATATATGTCCTCGTCTAATCCCCGATCAATATAATCCAAATTAGTCTCCGTGACGTATCTTGATTTCTAATCTATTGACCTTAATTATTCAGACCAAGTTTTCTGTAGCCAACAGTTTATTTCTTTTTAACCGTTTAAATTGTTGTTCGTGACGAAATTACATACTTTTTTTGCAATTGAATGTTCGTTGACTTTGATGAGAAATTTTGGAATGCTGTAGACAAGGCGCTAAATTGCCTATCGGTAGGGATTCAGGTTTTTCGTATCCCTTTTTAAAATATTCAGTGCCGGCATGCCCGTTGAAAAAACTTTCCAACAGATATTATACGCTTATTAGATCTTTGTTGCTACGTAATCAAGAAATAAATCTGAATTATTATAATTACAGTATAAAAATTTAAAACACCAACCTAATTTAAATATCTTTTTTAAACGGCTGAAGCTTATTTCACATTTAGACATTAAAGTTTTCAATTTGTGACTCTAAGTTGACAAAAATACTTAATGAAGCGGATAGGTAGATTCGATACATTCGATTGTTTATCTAAGTCCTAATGTAATTAACGAAATAATTGCTTACAATGTAAAAATATATGCTTGAACAAATTTTGCTTCGTTTTTTTTTTTTTTTTGCATAACCAAAAATATTATAATTTAAATAATGATCAATTAAAGGCAATATTAATATTAATATTTACGTACGTACGTAATTTTTGTTTCTAGTTCCGACTGTTCATACCGATCCAACCTAACTTTCTGAAAAAAAAATGTATGTGTGAGAAATTTCTCAGATAGTAAATTATAGATAATAAAATTATAGAGTTTGTACCCGTAAAGAAAATCTCTACGCGAGTATTATTTAAATTACTCGGTTATTCGAGTAATTTATTATAGCATATAATAAAAATGGTTACACGGGTACAATCTCTTTAAAATTAAGTCAATATGGGTTAGGTGTAACATAGCGGGCTTTTATTTTGATTGGCCAATTTTTGTAGATCAACCCGTGATGTAGTAAAAATTCTATTGGTTAATCGAAATTAATCGAAGTTCTAAATTTTAATTATGGTAAATTGTTGCGAAGAAAAA